ACCGCTCTACCACTGAGCTACTGAGGAACAACGGCAAATTCTATCCCATCTATATTATCATATAATAAGATATCTAATAATATATTATACTAAGACATAGAAAGAATAATATCACATAATAAAACATAGAATATCCTTAACAAACTTATATGCTTAACATATTTATATTATATGCTTAACAAACATAGGAAATATCAGATACTAACACAGAAAAGAATATCCTTAACAAACTTATATGCTTAACATATTTATATTATATGCTTAACATATTTATATTATATGCTTAACAAACATAGGAAATATCAGATACTAACACAGAAAAGAATAACATAGAAGAACAAAGAAAAAGAACACAGAAAAGAATAACATAGAAGAACGAAGCAAAGAAAAAAAAAGAACACAGAAAAGAATAAATAAAGAAATTAGTTATTTATTTAGAAATGATGAAGTATTGAAGTTTATATCATTAATTATTTTCAAATTAACAAGAAGAAGATGTTTCTTTTGTTCTTTAGATCAGAAGAATTGATTTTAATATAATCAATAACATTAACATAGAAGATATAATAAATAACATAGAAAATATAATCAATAACATTAACATAGAAGATATAATAAATAACATAGAAAATATAATCAATAACATTAACATAGAAGATATAATAAATAACATAGAAAATATAATCAATAACATTAACATAGAAGATATAATAAATAACATAGAAAATATAATCAATAACATTAACATAGAAGATATAATAAATAACATAGAAAAACAAAACAAAGTATATCAAAGAAAAACAAATCGAACACTCATAGAGGTATTATGATTTATAGCTTAGTTTGGGGAAATTATCTCGTTGGTTTCTGCGTTAAAATACTGAATTCAGCCGTTGTGATCGGATTCTATTATGGATTTCTGACTACATTCTCCATAGGACCGTCTTATCTCTTCCTTCTTCGAGGGCAAATCTTAGGAAAGGGATCTGAAACGAAAATATCAGCAACAACCGGGTTTATTACGGGACAGCTCATGATGTTTATATCGATCTATTATGCGCCTTTGCATTTGGCATTGAGTAGACCTCATACAATAACAGTCTTAACTCTACCGTATCTTTTCTTTAATTTTGTCCACAAAAATGACAAACACTACTATTTGGGTTCGGGATCCAAACTGGATTCTGAATACAAGAATCCAAATTCAATACGTCATTTTAGGATTGTTAAAGTATTCTTTAACAATCTTTTTTTTCAGTTATTAAACCCCTTTCTTTTGCCAAGTTCAATCTTAATAAGATTAATGAACATTTATCTGTTTCGATCCAACAATAAATTGTTATTCTTAACAAGTAGTTTTGTTGGGTGGTTAATAGGTCACATCTTTTTAATGAAATGTATTGGATTGGTATTAGTCTGGTTACAGCACAAAAAGTCGATCAAATATAAGATAACTATGAAATTTGATAAATACATTCTCCTACAATTGCGAAATTATGTGGGGCAAATATTTGTTGTTTTTTCATTTGTTAGCTTTGCACACTATTTAGGCAGAACACCGCTCCCATATTATTATATTGAGGAAATGATGCGATACGATGACAGGGACCTGGAGGAAGTCAAAGCTGCAATAGATTGGGAAAAGGAAGAAACTAACGAAGAAGAAGAAGATATTACTGTTTATCTTTCTGATAAAAAAGAGAATACTTTCAACAAAAAACTCGCCCCGTTGGAAAAATCTCTTGTAACTACTCTTTTCGATTATCGAAAATGGAATAGGCCTTTGCGATATATAAAAAATGATCACTTTGAAAGGGTTGTAAGAGATGAAAATTCACAATTTTTTTTTCAGGTATGTCAAAGTGATGGAAAAAAACGAATATCTTTCACGTATCCACCTCATTTATCTACTTTTCTGAAAATCATGGAAAAAAAAATGGATCTCTTCAGAAGAGATAAAACCTCCTATAATGATAATGAATTGTCTAATTATTGGAGCTCTGTTAATAAAGAAAAAGGAAATAAACTAATCAATGAATTTTTTCAAAGGGCAAAAATGATAGATAATAAATCTATTAAATTTAGTCCTGTGGATGTATTTGAAAATCGAATTAGATTGTCTGATGATAATAGGAAAACAAAATACTTAACTAAAATATATGATCCTTTCTTGAATGGACGCGTTCGTGGAGAAATCCAAAAAGGCTTTTCACCCTTCATTCCAAATGAAACTGACACAACAAACTACATTTTGATAAATAAGATTCATGGTCTCCTTCTTTCTATTAATAGTAATGATCCAGAATTTGAACAGAAAATAGATCAATTTGATAGAAAATTATTATTAAATGAAATTGGTTTTTTTTTTAACTTAATCAGTAAATTTTCGGAAAAATCAGTATCAAGTTTGAATTTTGACGGACTTTATTTATTTCCAGAACATGAACAAGTAAAAATATATTCCGAAGAAAAAAAAACAAAAAGAAAATTATTATTGGAC